ATGAGTGAGTGTTGTGTTTGAGTATTTATTTTACATGTCAGCCTTGTGATAGACTGGTGGCATGTCCAGGGTGTATCTCAGCTCCTACCCAATGACAGATGGGAAAGGCTCGAGCCCCCACATGACCTTGAATGAGATGAACGGTCTGGATGGATGGATGGATGGATGGATGGATGGATGGATGGATGGATGGTTCAGTCATTGGAAGCCAAATGTGCAGAATGAGACCATAAAAAAGCTTTGGCCTGAGGCATGTTTGTTCCCCTTAACAGCTGACAAATGTGTCATTTTATGTTAATGTTACATTTGGATCTGCACCAATAGCCTTTTGACTTTGAGTTGAGCATGCCAACTTCTTTTTCTGTACAAATATGCCTCCCAGGAGCTTTTTGTCAGTTCAAGGGTTTAAATTATCTATTTCCTCAAAGAAGTTTCCTTAAAAATAATCCAAAAGCACTAAGTTTTGACCATAGATTTAAGCATTGGAAGTTTCTTAAGGTTTTAATATAACAGAATCTTTTATAACCACCATAAAATTCTATTTAAGAAAAGAACAAGTCTCTCAAGATCTGTAGCACAGTAGTGATCATTGTCCGTGCCACTTGTTCAAAAGATCGGCACAGACCTGTTTAAAACTATAAAACACTAATTAGATCAAATAATTAGTCTGGCCCAGTGAGATTCATGTCAATGAAATGGTTCATCCCAAAAGTTGGATTTATATGTCTTAGACTGTCATTCACCAGGCCAGTATAAATTACACCAGGGTTATTCTCTTACTATTAAAGGGTAATTGCATTGAAGCAGGGTGACAAATCAGATTAATTTGAAGTGAGACGAAAGTAATATGATCGATGAAATCTCTTTGAACTGCTGCAGATTACATCTATCGACCAATGTATGTATCTATCAGGGATTCAATTTGAAGAATTGTCTACAAGCAGCTTTAAACCTACACACCAGCTAATTGTGGCTAAGTGTATAAATAATGAGGTAAAGCTCAATTCTCTACATGCCATTACTGGTGTCTAAGGGGTCTCCCAAGCAAGTGCAGCTAGCTCCCCCCTCTGGTAGAAAGCCACCAGTTGTTGTATAAACTGTGTTATTGTAAAGTGCCTTTAGAAGTATAGCAGGAACATTGAAACTTTTTAATGTTGTGTCGCATTTTGCTGACATTGTTCAGTTCTGTTTAGTTAATCCCAAGTAGAAAATGTGATTCTGACAGTCAACTCAGACTATGCATTTACAAACAACACTGGACAGATACATGTAGAAGACAATGAGTTATCAGTCCATTATAAGGGATGCACTCTGCCCCCATGTGGCCATTTCATGTAATGACTGGACCAGGCAAGGATCAGATAAATTGATTGAAATAAGGAGTCAAATAATATTAAATAAACGGAGATGCACTGCTTATTATTATACAAGTCTACATTCTGAGAATGTATGAACAAATAAAGAGGTTACTGGCATAATACCATGCATAACCACTTTGTGATTAGTGCACCAGCAAAATAACATAATGAAAGTTTTTCATCTACAGTGACTGCCATCAAGGTTAGACAGCCTGGAGGCTGAACAAAGGGGAGATAAGGAGTAATTGTTTGTTTTATGAGGAGAAATTATAAAGTGGTGACCTGAGAGCATCGACCTGAACTAGGAGAATAGGATGTACAGGATTGTAGTAGTAAATTGTAACCACTGCTTGACACACGACAACCAAGATTTAAAGGAGTCAAACTTTCTATCTATTAAAGCATAAAACTTCAGTGACACTGCTGATAAGTTACTGAATTTGACATTAATGATCAAGTGCTGCGGGTCATCACAGAGGTCATCTGCTCAGGGATCATCAAGAGCAGGCAGCAACAACCAGCAAAGAACACCATAGCTTTTGTCAAGGCTAGAGAGAAGGTGCACCACTCCTCAAGAACAACAGGAGGGCTTCTAACAACGGCCTGGGAATGGCAGCTGAAGGTGGATCTAGGGAAACCACTCAAAATTCCAGCTTCCATCACTGAGACCTCACTCAGGCCAGACATAGTGCTGGTGTCAGAAACATCCAGACAGGTGGTAAAGTTGGAGTTGACTGTTCCTTGAGAAGACCGGATGGAGGAGGACTTTGAAAGGAAGAGGGCCACATATGAGGAGCTGGCAAGCGAGTGCCGACAGAATGGTTGGAAGACCTGGTGTGACCCCATTGAGGTGGGGTGTAGGGCACTGAAGAGGCTGGGAGTGAGAGGGCTACACAACAGGAGCGCCATCAAGGCCATCTCAGATGCCACAGAGAGGGCATCAAGATGGCTGTGGATCAAGCTGGGTGAACCGTGGACTACTAAAGCTACTTAGACACAAGTCGGGGCTTAATCAACCCCGGCTGGGTCGCCCAGGTGAGGGTGTATGATGTTGAAAGACTCAAAACACCCGAGGACCCTGGGTTACATCACTGATGATGTGTCTAAGTATGCATCGCAAGATGTCTGAAAAAACCATGCCACTAAGGCATTTCAGCCAACAGGTTATTTCATTTTTCCTTCTGGAATATTATGAACATTTTTGAGCTTCTTTTGTATTTTCTTTTCATTTGTCTTACTTTAAGACCTAAGGAAACTTTTTTTTTATTAAGCCACAAGGATTTTTAATGTATAGACTACCAAGGGGAAAAAAATGATTTTCTTTTCTGCTGCTTCTCTATTCAAGTATCTGAACTGAATGAAGTATCTGAATAACTTTATAATAATAATAATAATAATAACAAGAATATTAAAACTTCTTTGCTGATCCATTTTATTAACATGATTAAATAACACACACACACACACACTTGCCACTATCAAGGTTAGACTTAACACGTTTAGCCATATGTTTTTCTCTATGATCCCATCCTGCAGCTTCCAGATCAAAAAGGGTAATAATGGGTAACAGCATTACTGCCTTTGCATTCAGTAATGTGATTAATGTAGGTGCACGTGTTTGTTTCTACAATGTATCATCACGATGATCCAGAAATAAACTTAAGTCTACTGTCTAACCTGCTTTATAATGAATCACATGCAATCACCAGAGCCACCACCAGATGTCAGAACTAGCTCATCTATAAACACCATGCAGAGTAGACCAAACATTGGCCTGGTTTCCACGAGTGACTTCAAGGTCTAGCCCAGGCTGAGTCATTATTCATGACACCCAATTCCCCTCAAGAAATCAATTCACTGATTTTTTTTCCCATTTGGAATGTATTTATGTTAATTTCTCTAGGCCACTGTGCTTGCGTAGCACAAAACACACAATTTGATTTTTGATTACACAACAGGTCTAAAAGCAAACTAAGCATTAGAATGCACCAAAGAGTGTTGCCCTAGAGGGATTGATTTGTGTGGGTTTCACCTGAGAGGAATTATGTTCCCCATTCGTACAGTATAGCATGTGTGGACCTGTGGAAATTGTAAAGCTGATCTCTATCACTGGAGGAATCATGAAGGTAGGAAGGAAGGAAACAAGGAATGATGAGCAAAGTGTGCTGCTGAAGTGCATTAAAAACAGGGATTTTTACAGAGGACAATGAAGACAGAAAACAAATGAATGATAAAAGATTTGCCGGCACGTCTCTGAGGACACTGTGAGACTATTTGAATAGATCCGTCAGCTTGGAGTTAATAAAGTCAGGTTCTGGCATGAAGAAACAAGAATTTATTTATTTATTATTATAATCTAAGTTAGAAAAAATGGCATACATAACATCAGATAACCCATAAGTTTTAATCAACAGAAATCATGTAATGAACAATTATGTAGCAAATACAGAAATTTGTGTTATTATGAACGCCTTGATTACTTTAAAGTTCCAAAGGGAGAAGATTGAGACCTAAACACATACAGTTTACTTTGGAAAATGTTTATATGCCATCTACATCAACTCCCCCTAAGATTTAAAAGGCTAAATCTAATGTAAACATGACAAAAGGTTTCCCATTACTGGATGCCCCTTTCATTCCCACGCTTAATTGTAAGTCCACTTGACTCTGCAGGAGGAGTTTGTTTAGTGACAATACCTAATGGTGTCCTGAAATTGTTTTGTTGTCTATTTATTATTTTAGCTGCTCCACTAAACCTCATGGGAAGTTTAAATACATGCATCTTTTTTGGCAGACAACTGAAGTCAGCCTGACTTGCATCATTTTGGAAGTATTGGACCAGAATCTAAAATGTATTTCTGTCTCAACAAAAGTTTGCGAATATTTCTACCTTGGTTATAAATTGCAAGAACATGTTAATGATGTTAAGAGTTACAACTGAACTGAATATTTGACAGACCCTACAGTCTAACTAGAAGACGAACAAAGTCTCATCTTAACCCGATCCACAGCTACAGTACCAGCTCAACAACACAGATGTTCAACTGCTCAGGGCAAAGGTCTGATTAACCAATCAATTCTCATTAACCGCCATGCTTGGTCCACCAGTCACCAGCTGGTCATGGCTGCAAAAGTGCATACTGCTCAATCACTTGAACCACTGTCTATACAGAATATGAGGAAGATGATGTCGCTCAGCGCTAATGCTTTTTGGAAGTGCAATGTCATTTATTTCTGTGTCAATAATGATTCATTTTACGACACATGCTAGTGTTAGAAAGTATAATTTAATAAACGTCTTTTCCTTTAATGTTTTGGCTTATATCTTACATGTATTTATTACATTTTGTTAGGACTATGGGGCCTAATCATCGTGTTTCAGAGCTTTTCATTCCATGTTAAATGTTAAAGAAACATATATTTTGCGTCGTTCATCTTGTGCTGTCTTGCTAGTTTTTACCACCTTTTTTTAACTTTGTCAGTCCAACGTCTTACAGGTCAAGCAGACATGTCAGAAACCTGATGAAAATACTAATTTAATAATATGAAATAACATTGAGGTACACAGTGAGAAGCGATCACCCTCTTGGTACAATCATTACTGAAAAAGAACCAAAAACATTGGCAGCAGCCCTTCTGGACGCCCAAAGTAAAGTCACAAATCAAGGGTCTGCTCGAGGCCTACTGGACCAGTGCCTCGGTGCGTTTGCCCCGTATCACTAATAAAGACATTGTGAAATAGTGGGACAAGGATGAGCATCATATGACATGTCAAGATTGTGTGTACTCGCAGAAGCACACAGGGGCTCAGGTGTGTTTCCATTTGCCTTCAGGCTGTTTGATGAAAGTTTGATGTAAGAGCTGTATTTCTCCTAGTGTGTAGCAGGCAGTGCATATGAGAGTGACATTTAGAAAACTGTGCGTGTCTGTAAAGGACAAAAGTGCATAGCAAATATGCAGTTATGTGTAAATTCTGACAGTATTTTGTCAACCTAATGCAATTTTCCTCCTCTGTGTGTGTGTGTTGTTCTGGACTTAAATGACTTCTTTATCTAGAATTATGGAAAACTAAGTCATACCAAATTCTTTTTATCTAATGCTCATTTGTATTCATTCATTGAGAATAGGGAAAATAATTCCACATCAATAAAAATGTTAATGTCCTTGATTTCGCTCAGACTGACTCATTTTCATCTGCAGTCCTTTCTCAGAATAACAGGCCGTGTTGAGAGATGAAATTTTTGGTATTTTAATTAAAGTAGAAATTGTACATGAGCTTTTTCAAAGTTATTCTTTCTATAGTTACTTTTGTAAAATACTAAAACTGACTTTACAAATCAGTCTATCCTAAGTTCTTTGTCATAATACATTTCTTCCATCTCTTTTTTCTGACTCTTTGCTTCAGTAGATTTATAAAGTTGTTTGTGATTCATCATGTTTTAACTCACAGATACCCCACCCTCCTTCCACCATATATACTCTCAATTATGAATATTTTCTAATTACGTAAGAAGCTCAGCTACAGTTTCTCATATTGAACCTCCCTGATGACCCCCACGACTTGTTTACATCAACAGTTAACAATTTCTGAGCTCCTCACTCCTCTTTTTCATCAGCTTGTTGGACTAATTGAGAATACCTACTTTTGAATCACTGTTAAAAGAGAAAAATCAACATGACATCACAGTGTTTCGTTCAAAATGAGACCATAATGTGTTTTAGATGTAGTACTTCGGTCTCAAGCATTTATGAATTTTAAGTCAGATGTGGTTTGTTAATGGCCTTTTTGTAAAATGACTCCAAAGACAAAATCATGATCATTTCAGTAGGATTTATGGTGTGGAAGTCCAATGTACGTACCTCCTGATTTTACTACTGTACATAAATCTGTGGCCCCGTTAGAGAAACTGGGAAAACAGTTCAATTCTGTGCTTTAACCAAACCTTCAACCATTTGTTCTTTTTCTGTGAATAGTGCCCTCTAGGGGGTCTCCAGAAATCTCAGAGGCTCTGTCTACTCTGAGGTTGTCAAAATCATCTTCGCACATATTAAATACAACCCTATGATATAAGTCAGTAAGGTGGACTCCAAGGAAATAAAGGTTCAGAACCACTGATTTAGATCCCACATGGGTCGAGCTGTCTAACTAATGAGCACCAGTCACTACACAATTATTTTCTAAGTATTTTCAAAACAGTGGTATAAGACTAGTATTCTGTGATGTGAACTCTGTTAAGGAAAAAATATATATATAAAATGGTTATGCTACTTGATTTGATTTTGGAAACAACTGATCAGCTAAAATTATTCGCCTGCCACAAAAAAACAGAAGTTGTCCTGATTTATTTAAAGGTGGAAAAAAAAACGCTGTTCCAGTGAATAGTAGGCATTTTTGTTCTATTGTTTTTGGGACTGTAACCGTTCATCTGTAAATACTTTAGTTTCTCTACATCTCTCTCTTTCTAATCCCAGCACAGTCTCAGTAGATGACTGTCTAACATGAGTCTAGTTCTGCTCGGGGTTTCTGTTCTGCCTCTTCAAAGGAACTTTTTCCACCCCACTACTTGCTTAATGCACAAAGTGCTGCATTTATGTGGTTGAAGATGGGATAAGACTGGGTCTGATCTTAAATCTTAAAAGAATTAATGAAAGGTTGATACTCAAATAACCTTCCTAACTTCAGTCAAGTTACTGAGAATAAAGAACAGACTGTAATCCATCTTACCTCTGAACCAAGTTGTCTCTGGACACAGTGGGACATTAGGTGATGATGACCTACACAAACAAGTACGAGGGAATATTAAAATGATTAAAAGAGATGAGATGGAACATATTCAAAGTATTCAAGTTTTAAATGTTGGCATCAAACAGTCCTAAATGCTTTCAAGGGATCGTAACAGCTCACCAGTTACTTATGAGCGTGTGTGTAATGAGACTTTGATGAGCTGTGTCTGCACAGGGACACACGGACTGTCAATACTGAGGGTCTAGTGTGCGTGTTTGAATACACTTTTCTGAGCATGTCTGTATTTGGCTTACACGGTCAAGTGTGTGCATCTACCCCCGGTGACATTTAAGGTTGCTCGATTTCTTGTCTGGGATTTTTTTTTGGCGTGGCAAAACATTGACTCTGACTCCCCAAAGCTGCAGGGACCCATCCAGTCTAGCTTTCTATCTCCCGTAAGGGATAATTAAATATGTTTCTAGAGCTTGTGTTTATGCAATCTTATGCGGCAAACAGTTTTGACCTCAGTGGTTTGTCTTAGTCCCCGTGAGTTTTATACCTTGTAAATCATGGCTGCCAGTATGTTTGTTTGAGTGTTTTTGTTGCAGTGTGAATGTGTTTGGGTGTTTGTGCTCATTTCTCCTTCTGCTGCTCTGCACACCAGTCCACCTGTCAATCCAGTGCTGAGGCTCTCTTTCTCCCATGAGGTAATTATCTACAGTCTGGTTCATATGTTTATTATCTGGATGTGTGTACGTGTGTGAGAGAGAAACAGGGGGAGAGAGGAGAGAGAGAGAGACCGAAGGAAAAATGGCAGCAGTAGTTAATGGGAGATGGGGATTTTCTTTTGGTTTTTATTTCCTCTGAGACAGTCCTCCAACCTTTTCCTTTCTCATGACATCTGTTTCCCCTCTCTGCCCAAACCCTTTTCCCGTCTTGTGTTCTCCCTCGTACCCTATTCCAATCTGTCATCCCCCCTTTCTCCAATCTTCCTCACTGCCGTCTTTTCCCTCTGCTCTCCCTTCTCTTGTTTTATTCCGATTTTCTTGCCCCTTTTGCTTCCTCATATTCCCATGTTCACTCCCTGTGTTCAGTCCTGTCTGAATTTGCCCCTTTCATCCCTCTCCCCTCCTTTCCGTCTATCTTCCTGTATATCGGCTTGTGTGATATAAACACCAGTTGGCTGGAAGAAATCTTGGTTTCAGAGCAGCAGACAGGTGAGACATCACCTGAAACTCTGGAAGAACATGGACACCTGCTTATTCTTCTTGTACACCTGCTTGTTTCTTACCAGTTTATATATTTTTAAAGCATTATTTTCACCCTTTGGACCCAAATATCTATCTCCTGCCATGCTGTATTCTTACCTCTCCACCCTGAAGTCTTTGCCCTGGTTTTGTCTGAGAGTTGTCAATTATTTGTCATGTGTCAATCATCTTAAGCAGCTGCTCTACCCTTCTACCAATGTGGAAACGAAAGCAGATGATGCACACATGAGCAAACAAACACGCACTCCTGCTATGCACAACAAATATTTGTCTGCCATCCAGCCAACGCAATACATCAGCTGTTTAATGACCAATTTATAATCTTGTTGATTACCCTGACAGATCTGAAGTACTGTCAAATAAAAATGAAGACATTTATTTATGAGAAAAAATAAAACCTAGTATGTCTTACAAACGCAGTCATTAAAAATGATTGGTCACGACTGCAGGCTCAGAGGTTTTATCCACAATGAGGTAACCCATGTGGACAATGAGGGAAACAATGTGTCACGCTGACAGGTGCTCCATCTCCTCTGCCTCTAGGTCATGTAATTAATCTCTTTCTGTTCCCTCCTAATCCAAGGGCGAGATCTTTCAGAGTTATACGTTGTAAACAGTTCATCACTGCTTGTCACTATCAGGTCTATTTCCTTCAAATGTTAAGATGTTAAATGCAGTGTTGTGTCTACTCAAGTTTTGTAGCCATGCACGTCAGTTTTTAATCAAAAGCAATATAAAAATAAGTAAACCATGTAGGAGGGCTGAATGATAAATACTGATGTGCACTTGTGTTGTAGTCACATTAATTCTTGGCCCCATGACAGTCTACCTTCTTTGGCCCCATCACCACAGCTTAAGCCAACCCCGTACAATAATTAAAACCACATCTCTATTATGCAAGCCGCCCAATTATACATTTAAATTGCTAAGCCATCTCAAGAATAAATGGATTTGCTCTGTGAGATCTGTAGAGCTCGCCCTCCACATCATTTGGTGCCATCCTGATTTTGTCTGATCTTCATCTCTGTTTGCCAGTCTGAAAACAAGCGTGTCTCCCTGTTGATTGGTAAGCTTTTCTGACTGTAGACCAGGGTCCTCTGGTGAATAATCAGGCCCTCACTTTCTTCTTCGTCATTTTCAGAGGGACCTTCCATTTGGATTTTGGGGAGGTAAGAGAGGCCTTTGACAGAGACTTTAAATTATTTGCAAAGAGACTGAGTATCTTAATTCTCTCACACAGACAACAACTTTGAAGGAAAAAAATAAGTGCATATTTCTGGCCAGGGGTGTAGCACCAAACTCTGGGCCCTGTACACTTTCAATGTCAGTGGGCCCATATCCATGCCAGTGCAAGAGCAAAATGAAAAATCTGAACTTTCATGGGCCCCTCTCCCTACTCGGGCCCTGGGGAGTCAGGTCCACCTTCACCCCCCCAAGAAAATCCCTTGAAAATGACAGGTAACGTGATTTTGGCAAAAATAGACTTCATAATCACAATTTAAAGACCACTGAGAACACTTGCAGTAGTAACAAAAATCAATCAGAGTGGGATTTTAAAGTCCAAAGTTGAAGTTTTTAGCCAAACTAACCTTTGTTACCACACTCTTATGTTTCTTTTATTGTGGATGTTTTATGTGGGAACTGTAATACTACAGCTGCTCAACTTAGACCTACCCCCTTGTGCAAGTTTCAGGCATCAAAAATGAAGATATGCAAATAGTCAGTCTTGTTTGCTTGTCTGGATATCATGAAGAGGCCTCAATTTGAATTTCCTTTCAAGTCCTATCATGCCGCTGATCCAGATGCCTCTGCTCTCGACCAGCATAACTTAGCATCCATAACTTATGAAGATAACTGAAAGAAGGGGCATTTACAAAAGCTCAAGCACCACTGTAATGTAAACAGTGGATCGTTTTTGTCTCTTTCCCATATTTCTTTGTGTAATTTAAAAATAAGTAAATAATTACACACCATTTGGCATACTGTTAAGTATTTTTGGAACTACTTTTCTACATGCTTCTTTTTTAGATGTTAAAGCCTGCTATTCAAAGAAGACTGTCAGGTGAGGACTTCACTGGTACACCTTGCCAAACTACTAGCCGAATAGATTTGTTAAATTGAGTTTTATTTTACAGTAAGCACCATTATTGAATAATAACAATCATTGATAGTTATTTATAATCAACCTTAATTATTTTATTGCCATTGAGTATTAGTGTAATAATGAAGATAAATGTCTTCTCAAGTCTCTGGAAATACAATAATCCCATTAAATGCACAGGAGAAATTATAAGGATTAAAAACCAGACAAGGTCAAATCAAAGGCCAGGGAAAGACAGGATTCAATAACACCAAGTTAAAGCTGTGGTCATATGGGAGTCAGCAATAAAGCCTGTTTGTGGATAGATGTGGAAAACGCCTGAACACAAAACACATACATTGATTATGATGCTCCAGGTGGTGAAAAAGTGGTGACCAGGTTGAGAGCATTGATTCAGTGAGAATAGACTGTCCTTGAAAAAGATGGCCTGCAGGGGACGGATCTCTGTCATCCATCCCTGTCACCCTGTCACACACATACATCTGTTGGTCCTGGACACTCCAAAACGCACGATCAAAGGGACAGGTTTACAGAGGACTGTAGTTTAATATTGTGCTCCGGGTCCATATCAGCCTTCAGTATTTCTTATTATATTTTATCGAATAACTTAATTTAACTGAATTAATCAAGTGGCTTTTTCAATCAGCTCAAAGATTTTTACATCGACATCAGCAATACATTACAATACACAGGTAAATCTAAGTTTACCTGGTTACAAATACCAGAAAAAGCCTGTCAAATTAGCCCTATGATTTAAATTAAATCTGTTGTTTGTAAAATGTGTTTCTAAAGTCTCATCTGTCAGCATTATGATACTGATACTACATTAAATTAACTTGGAATCAAGATAAGACCACCTTTTTTAACTTTAGAGTAAACTTGGCTTCAAATCAAGTCTGTTACTTTTCTGTTGGAGATGTAGGGCTTAAGACAGCGATTACATAGTTTGTAGTGTGTGTCATTTAGCTTTGCACCTCAAAGCAACTCAGACAGTTAAAGTCCTCCTGAGATATCCAAAAAGCCCATTTGCTCATGTAAATAATAAATCATGTTCTATCTGCCAAAGGACACCAGTCAGCAATCTCAACTCTCCAAAGTCAATATCAACAGCCTTCAGACAAGCTCCATGGCTACCTCAATTTTTGCTTTTTTTGTGACCAATTTTAGATTCAAGTTTAACATCATAACAAGGTTTGTTTTAGGAAACTGATCAGTGTAGTTTGTAGACTTTAAATGAAAGTGTAGAAAGATTTCCTTTAATTCAACATGAAAAGCGTATATAAGTTTTGGTGTGCCTTGTGTAGCACAAGTAACAGAGTGGCACAAGGTATAATAATGCTGAATAAACTCAGAAGAATCTAACCTCGAGAAGAGGAAGAAATGAACTGATGTTAATATTAAAATTCAAGAGACCCAGATAAAGTTACTCAAAACTATTGGAGTGGAAAATTAAAACATAAAAATTAAATAATCACAACAATCAAAAATGACAAGGAATCTCTTTTCAGGCTCTTTTTCAATAAGATAGTCTAGGATTTTTCCCCTTTAAAACACTTTGTTAGCGTCCAGTCCACAAACAAAAGAAAACAATACTATGAGTCCTTGGTGTCCTTTTTTTTTTTTTTGTTTGTTTCTTGTTCATTTTTCTTTAAAATGTCAACTTATGTATCTATAAGGGAAA